ATTCGGTTTGTGTCTTTCTCTGCTCTTATTTGGCTGTTGAAAATTTCTGTCCTCTTGTTCTTCCTTTCTTGAATTCTGTCCAGAGTATCGATAGGAAACCATTCCTTATGATGGTGCTTCTTGCGGCCCGGCACCTCCTGAAACTTTGAAGTCAATGCTTTTTTAATCGCTTCCCAGTTGTCCTCCATGGTAGTTTCTTCTTTCAGTAGGTCCTGTAAATTTTGGAACCTGATGTCTAGAATTATCCTGAATTCTTTGAGTTTGTCAGCATCTCGAAGGAAGGTTGTATTAAACTCTTGTAATGCTATTTCTTCAGTTTTTCAATGTTCTTTCAGCTCCAGTTTCATTTTGGCTATAACCGGGTGGTGGTGGTGATCTGAAGCTATGACAGCTCCTCTCCTGGTTCTCACATCTCCTATTCACCTGAATATCTTAGTGGTACGAATGTGACCGATCTGGTTCTTTGTAGTGTGATCCGGTGAGACTCGTGTAGCTTTTTGTATGCATTTTTGGGTAATATAGTGCCTCCTACAACCGTTTTGTTGAATGCACATAAATTTGCAAATCTGTCACTATTCTCATCACTTTCTCCCTATCAGTTCATAGCGTCCCGTGATGTCTGCATACTCAGTATTGTCTACTCCGACTTTGGCGTTTAGGTCTCCGGTCAGGTTCCTGAGCACTTCACTAAGATCAATTGTAGCTTCTCGTAAAACTGGTATTTAACGTCTTGGTTGCTATTATCGGTGGGTGAATAACATTAATTGTGATCCCCTTCTTCTTTGTCTTGAAGGATACTTTGATGGTTCCGGATCTATGAGATTATCATCCTGTAAGTGAGTTTTGTGCTTCTTTGGACAGCATCAGAGCAACTCCCTGAGTGTAGATCATTTTCTTCTTCGTGACCAGAGTATAAGTGAACCTCTCTCGAATCTAACCTTTTCTGTCCAGTTTGGGTCCAATGTGTCTCACTGATTCCGAGCACCACAACGTTGTATCTCCTCATTTCTGTAGCTATTTGACTGGTTCACGCGGTCTCTCATATTGTTCGGACATTTCATGTACCTACATTAATTGTTGATCTAGTTGTTAGAGGGAAAACCGGACTCATGGCTTCCGAACAATCTTGGTTTTTACCATGTGTTATAATTTTTTTGGGCGAAGATTCAAGTCGGACGGAAGAGTTTGAATTGTCTATTTTGGTTAGTGTTTTTCAACAAGGTTATTTTCTACGAGATAGGGTTGCTGACCCCGTGCTCAACAATCCTTCTTTACTCGGGCTTGGGAGCGATAGTAACCATAGGAGAGCTACAGGGAGACTTTAAAGGAAAAGACGAATTAGAGAATATTGTAATATTTTCTTTACAATGAAGTAAAAGTCATCCAATCAATAAGTAGAATTAAATATTCTTTTTTCTTAATGATGTATACCAAATAACTGATGAGAATATTGAAATGTTTAGTGCTGACGACCCAAATGTAACTTCACAACTATTTTGAAATAGGAACTAATTCAAATGTAGTATTAATATGACTACCCCGATGATATGTGAAGGTTAGTCTAAGTAAGGATATACCTATACAATGACTGATAACGGAATATAATGACACAAGAATAAATCGTAGGGCAATGATAGCCGAAACACATGATATGAATTTTATTACAGATTACACAAAGACTCACAAGTTTCAACAGTGAGACCAACAAACTTACATTCTTAAAATAGATTTTTTAATTAGACGAGAATTTGGTTGATAACAGAATAAAAGCAATAGATACTGAGTAAAGTTATAATCTAACAAGATAAGTGCCTATCCATCAATACTATCAGAAAAATATTATAACGGAGGATGAAAATGATTTACGGGTCAGAATTATGAAGGATAATTGTCCGCTTGACAGATATATGAAGGATGAAAAAATGTAAAGGTCATAATCATAACTGAATAATAATCATTAAAAATTGTTAAGAGCTTAAAATAAGTGATTACGGTTTAAAATTATAAAACAATAATGAGAACAAAACAAACCCAAAACATACTACAGAAGGGAATCAGGGTTATGGAAGGATGAGTGATATGTGGTAACGAGTTGGACATACAGTTCTTGCACAGAATTCGCACCTGAATTGGTGGATCGCCAATAAAGTTATATAATAAATGCCAAATATACTCAGATTATCTAAATTATATTTATTAAAATATCTGCAAAAATACTTGTGTGCTTAGTGTAAAGTGAACCTCTGGTCATGTACAACTTACTTTTTCTGAAACTAAATGCAGCCTAGACAGCAAACGTATCAGTATAGTGTGAAGCCCATTAATTCTCTCTAGTGGTTTACGACTACAAAGCGGTTAACAGTAATAAAATGTCTAGAAGTTTCAGTTTAACTTGGATTTCACTAGATTTGCACGTTATCTATACCTGGATGGACACATTACCTAAACCAAAGGCTTATATAGTTTTTTTTTGTAAGAAGAGTTCACAATACACCCATAAGATTAAATAATTATGAAAAAAACAATGATGTAAATGTTAGTTAGAAATTTGGGAGTAGTTTAAATTTACACCAATATCACAAGTGATATTTAAGTGTTCTCTGAAAGTCATCCTTGGGACTAAATTTTTAAAACATCTATCCGTTTGATCACAACCGACTCAGAATCCTTGATCTGCACATTTCTATTGTTCGGAAACATATTCCCAGTGCTTATTTCTCACTATTATTTTTATAATTATTTCAGATGATTCACGACTGGTATCGTTAACTCATCCCATTATGATATACATATTTCTAAGTCTCCATGTTGATTACGACTGACTGATTGCCAGGAAAGGAACAGTTTCTGCCTACTTAGATTATTTGTAATACTAGTTTGAACACACTAACGACCACTTAAAACCATTTGCACATTGCATTTGAACTAGTGATATACTCTGCAGATAATAGATACATTTACTGTCTGATTTATACATACCGTAATGTTTACAGTGTAGTGTTTACCTATAAACCCAAAAATCTATGTAAATTCACTTTTTTTCTGTCTTGAGTTTTATTTGATATGAACGACTGGGAACTAGGGGGAAGATTCGACTAATACAAGGAACTCCATGCATATGCACTTTAAGAATTTAACTAATAAAGGAGCCATGATGGAACAGGATAGATGAGACAACAAATATTAAATACATGATTTAAAAAAATTTCTTTTACGTAACCTATATACGTAAAAGAATGCTATACCTAAAATAATCTCTTCATACGAAGCAGAAAAATGAATATTTCACAACAGTAATTCGGTTCAGATTATCAAATCTACCAATAATACAGAGAAATCTAAGAGGAAACTGTTAACAGGAATCAGTCAATATGGAGCATATAGCTACAATGTGTTTAGGACGGCATACGGCAAAATGACAAGTGATGTATCCTTTTGACCCTTAGAATGTATATTATAATTCTTAGTGTCTACAAAAACTGGTCCTAAACACATCGTCTTTTATTCAATGTCTACACGTCTTTGATGAATAATGTTTACATTATGTCATTACAAAGTCTACCATAAAGTACACGTGATAACACTAGAAAAGTAGCGAATATAAGGATAATTTGAAAAACAGAACGAGAATCACTGCGCATGTTTATATGTAAAGGTCGAGAGAAGTTACATGACATACAACTGAAGTTACTTCCGCATGTACTATAGATTATGCAAAACAGTTGGTGTTTGAGATAGGTAATAATAAACCGACTACTATTTTCTTAAATCCAGTGTCAATAGGCTAAACCATTACTACCTGAAATAATCATGAATTTCATCATTTAATTATCCAGTTCTTTATACAGTAGTGACTTCATTTCCCGAACTCCAGATTTACCGAATGAGCCATAGAAAAATGCCTAACTTCGGTTCATATTTCTGTAGCTATGAGGGGTAGACAACAGTGACTAAATGTACCACCCTCTCAGCTTCTGGTGCGAGACACTACTCAATTAACACCAATATTGTAGATAGAGCTGGAGTATTAACATTATCCCTTCAAGTCATGAGTTTTATAAACAACTCAAAGCGGAAAATGTCAAGTTCGAAAGAATATAGAAGTCTACCTATGAAGTAATCAGGAGTGGACTTGATAATGCAACAAACGGAAAATTCCCTTTAGCCGGTCGGTCCATCATAAATTCTCAGAATGAAGTTATTAGTAAGAGGAATAAAACATACAGCAAGAATGGGTAACCAGGAAATCATAACGAGTCATTTTAGTTATTTAATCTAAATGAACTGCAAAGTATAGATTTATGTACTCGACTTTAAGCCACACCATGAGTGCTAGTGCTAAAACCTGATTTTCTAAATCAAAATATGTGGGAAAACAACTTTGATCTTATGACGGTACTTCAACTACAAGGCCATTGCTCCGTTATCATAGGAGTATGAACAAATACCTCTGGTTTTTTAAGGGTATTTTGTTCTGAGCTAGATAGTTTGGTTGTGAAGCTCGAAATCCACAGCCTGAGCTACGAATATCTCCCACCATCTCAAATACTTCTTAACTACTGATATGGGGAAGGAACCTTAAAAACTTTTCAGATGTATCAACTTGATATAAATGACCATCTTCAAATATAAATTACACTTCTACCATTAGATTCCAGATCTTACACGTGAAATCAGTCAAATGAATAGACGAAAGATATGTGTATTATTGTGAAGAACCCATTAATTAAGCTTCGCTAACTGTAACAATGTTTCCATGATATCCTAACATTATAGTCATATTGTTTGGAACACAGGAAAACCAAGAGAAGTGAATCTTAGTCCCCAGGGAGAAGGCTTAAAAATATGATACCAACATTGCGAAAGATACCGGTTACCGATTTTAACCAGTTATCTCTTGGAACTACTAATTGTAGTTTCTAACTTCGATTCCTTAATTATTCACAAAAGCGTGAAGTGAGTATAGTATGCCCATGGACTATTTCGGAAAAAAAAGTACGCAATAATTTTGATCATTATATTGACAGCACTCATGCGACATAAAAACAACCATAAGATCAAAATAGCCACAAACAAGGTCTTAAAAAACTTTATGATTTTCGTGTAGCATCCACAAATACGAGAGGATCTTTGCCCACAACACGAGCAGAATGTCGTATATTGCGAGGAACTTCAAGACGATCACCAGGACCTAATATAATTTCCTTTCCATACATAGTGAATGAAAGCTGGCCGCTAACAATACAGTCCAGTTTATCTTCGTTGTGGGTATGTTCCGGAAAATTGGTCCCAGGACTGAACGTGTAATTTATGTAACTGCAACCCTGCAATCAGTGAACAAACAAATTTGGCAACTACATTATTATACAAAATAATTGACAATACCTCCGATTTGAGCTTCTTTAGCATATTTTCTAGGGTGAGTTGGCCATCAGCGGATTCATCCCAACGGTGGACAACAAACCCGGACATCTAGAAACAGAAGAAAATACACTACCATAGTAAAACATAACTTGAAGAAAAACCACTCTATAAGTGCAGCAAGGACAACACATTTTATAAAATATATTACGTTTAGCTGCTAATCATTTCAGTAAATACAATGATTGAATATATAAAAGAGCATACAAAAAAATTGAATTTGGATGGACGATTATCAGGTCGTTGTATTACAACCTGCGAAATTGCCCAAAACTCGATGTGGCACTCATACAACTAAGGAATACTGAGTGCGGACAACATTCACACGTAGTTCAGCGAACAGCAGCATTCACAAAATACAACATTGCATTTGTATGGACGATTATCAGGTCGTTGTATTACAACCTGCGAAATTGCCCAAAACTCGATGTGGCACTCATACAACTAAGGAATACTGAGTGCGGACAACATTCACACGTAGTTCAGCGAACAGCAGCATTCACACAATACAACATTGCATTTGTATGGACGATTATCAGGTCGTTGTATTACAACCTGCGAAATTGCCCAAAACTCGATGTGGCACTCATACAACTAAGGAATACTGAGTGCGGACAACATTCACACGTAGTTCAGCGAACAGCAGCTCATTCACACGTAGTTCAGCGAACAGCAGCATTCACACAATACAACATTGCATTTGTATGGACGATTATCAGGTCGTTGTATTACAACCTGCGAAATTGCCCAAAACTCGATGTGGCACTCATACAACTAAGGAATACTGAGTGCGGACAACATTCACACGTAGTTCAGCGAACAGCAGCATTCACACAATACAACATTGCATTTGTATGGACGATTATCAGGTCGTTGTATTACAACCTGCGAAATTGCCCAAAACTCGATGTGGCACTCATACAACTAAGGAATACTGAGTGCGGACAACATCACACGTAGTTCAGCGAACAGCAGCATTCACACAATACAACATTGCATTTGTATGGACGATTATCAGGTCGTTGTATTACAACCTGCGAAATTGCCCAAAACTCGATGTGGCACTCATACAACTAAGGAATACTGAGTGCGGACAACATTCACACGTAGTTCAGCGAACAGCAGCATTCACAAAATACAACATTGCATTTGTATGGACGATTATCAGGTCGTTGTATTACAACCTGCGAAATTGCCCAAAACTCGATGTGGCACTCATACAACTAAGGAATACTGAGTGCGGACAACATTCACACGTAGTTCAGCGAACAGCAGCATTCACACAATACAACATTGCATTTGTATGGACGATTATCAGGTCGTTGTATTACAACCTGCGAAATTGCCCAAAACTCGATGTGGCACTCATACAACTAAGGAATACTGAGTGCGGACAACATTCACACGTAGTTCAGCGAACAGCAGCATTCACACAATACAACATTGCATTTGTATGGACGATTATCAGGTCGTTGTATTACAACCTGCGAAATTGCCCAAAACTCGATGTGGCACTCATACAACTAAGGAATACTGAGTGCGGACAACATTCACACGTAGTTCAGCGAACAGCAGCATTCACACAATACAACATTGCATTTGTATGGACGATTATCAGGTCGTTGTATTACAACCTGCGAAATTGCCCAAAACTCGATGTGGCACTCATACAACTAAGGAATACTGAGTGCGGACAACATTCACACGTAGTTCAGCGAACAGCAGCATTCACACAATACAACATTGCATTTGTATGGACGATTATCAGGTCGTTGTATTACAACCTGCGAAATTGCCCAAAACTCGATGTGGCACTCATACAACTAAGGAATACTGAGTGCGGACAACATTCACACGTAGTTCAGCGAACAGCAGCATTCACACAATACAACATTGCATTTGTATGGACGATTATCAGGTCGTTGTATTACAATCTGCGAAATTGCCCAAAACTCGATGTGGCACTCATACAACTAAGGAATACTGAGTGCGGACAACATTCACACGTAGTTCAGCGAACAGCAGCATTCACAAAATACAACATTGCATTTGTATGGACGATTATCAGGTCGTTGTATTACAACCTGCGAAATTGCCCAAAACTCGATGTGGCACTCATACAACTAAGGAATACTGAGTGCGGACAACATTCACACGTAGTTCAGCGAACAGCAGCATTCACACAATACAACATTGCATTTGTATGGACGATTATCAGGTCGTTGTATTACAACCTGCGAAATTGCCCAAAACTCGATGTGGCACTCATACAACTAAGGAATACTGAGTGCGGACAACATTCACACGTAGTTCAGCGAACAGCAGCATTCACACAATACAACATTGCATTTGTATGGACGATTATCAGGTCGTTGTATTACAACCTGCGAAATTGCCCAAAACTCGATGTGGCACTCATACAACTAAGGAATACTGAGTGCGGACAACATTCACACGTAGTTCAGCGAACAGCAGCATTCACACAATACAACATTGCATTTGTATGGACGATTATCAGGTCGTTGTATTACAACCTGCGAAATTGCCCAAAACTCGATGTGGCACTCATACAACTAAGGAATACTGAGTGCGGACAACATTCACACGTAGTTCAGCGAACAGCAGCATTCACACAATACAACATTGCATTTGTATGGACGATTATCAGGTCGTTGTATTACAACCTGCGAAATTGCCCAAAACTCGATGTGGCACTCATACAACTAAGGAATACTGAGTGCGGACAACATTCACACGTAGTTCAGCGAACAGCAGCATTCACACAATACAACATTGCATTTGTATGGACGATTATCAGGTCGTTGTATTACAACCTGCGAAATTGCCCAAAACTCGATGTGGCACTCATACAACTAAGGAATACTGAGTGCGGACAACATTCACACGTAGTTCAGCGAACAGCAGCATTCACAAAATACAACATTGCATTTGTATGGACGATTATCAGGTCGTTGTATTACAACCTGCGAAATTGCCCAAAACTCGATGTGGCACTCATACAACTAAGGAATACTGAGTGCGGACAACATTCACACGTAGTTCAGCGAACAGCAGCATTCACAAAATACAACATTGCATTTGTATGGACGATTATCAGGTCGTTGTATTACAACCTGCGAAATTGCCCAAAACTCGATGTGGCACTCATACAACTAAGGAATACTGAGTGCAGACAACATTCACACGTAGTTCAGCGAACAGCAGCATTCACACAATACAACATTGCATTTGTATGGACGATTATCAGGTCGTTGTATTACAACCTGCGAAATTGCCCAAAACTCGATGTGGCACTCATACAACTAAGGAATACTGAGTGCGGACAACATTCACACGTAGTTCAGCGAACAGCAGCATTCACACAATACAACATTGCATTTGTATGGACGATTATCAGGTCGTTGTATTACAACCTGCGAAATTGCCCAAAACTCGATGTGGCACTCATACAACTAAGGAATACTGAGTGCGGACAACATTCACACGTAGTTCAGCGAACAGCAGCATTCACACAATACAACATTGCATTTGTATGGACGATTATCAGGTCGTTGTATTACAACCTGCGAAATTGCCCAAAACTCGATGTGGCACTCATACAACTAAGGAATACTGAGTGCGGACAACATTCACACGTAGTTCAGCGAACAGCAGCATTCACAAAATACAACATTGCATTTGTATGGACGATTATCAGGTCGTTGTATTACAACCTGCGAAATTGCCCAAAACTCGATGTGGCACTCATACAACTAAGGAATACTGAGTGCAGACAACATTCACACGTAGTTCAGCGAACAGCAGCATTCACAAAATACAACATTGCATTTGTATGGACGATTATCAGGTCGTTGTATTACAACCTGCGAAATTGCCCAAAACTCGATGTGGCACTCATACAACTAAGGAATACTGAGTGCGGACAACATTCACACGTAGTTCAGCGAACAGCAGCATTCACACAATACAACATTGCATTTGTATGGACGATTATCAGGTCGTTGTATTACAACCTGCGAAATTGCCCAAAACTCGATGTGGCACTCATACAACTAAGGAATACTGAGTGCGGACAACATTCACACGTAGTTCAGCGAACAGCAGCATTCACACAATACAACATTGCATTTGTATGGACGATTATCAGGTCGTTGTATTACAACCTGCGAAATTGCCCAAAACTCGATGTGGCACTCATACAACTAAGAAATACTGAGTGCGGACAACATTCACACGTAGTTCAGCGAACAGCAGCATTCACAAAATACAACATTGCATTTGTATGGACGATTATCAGGTCGTTGTATTACAACCTGCGAAATTGCCCAAAACTCGATGTGGCACTCATACAACTAAGAAATACTGAGTGCGGACAACATTCACACGTAGTTCAGCGAACAGCAGCATTCACAAAATACAACATTGCATTTGTATGGACGATTATCAGGTCGTTGTATTACAACCTGCGAAATTGCCCAAAACTCGATGTGGCACTCATACAACTAAGAAATACTGAGTGCGGACAACATTCACACGTAGTTCAGCGAACAGCAGCATTCACAAAATACAACATTGCATTTGTATGGACGATTATCAGGTCGTTGTATTACAACCTGCGAAATTGCCCAAAACTCGATGTGGCACTCATACAACTAAGGAATACTGAGTGCGGACAACATTCACACGTAGTTCAGCGAACAGCAGCATTCACACAATACAACATTGCATTTGTATGGACGATTATCAGGTCGTTGTATTACAACCTGCGAAATTGCCCAAAACTCGATGTGGCACTCATACAACTAAGAAATACTGAGTGCGGACAACATTCACACGTAGTTCAGCGAACAGCAGCATTCACACAATACAACATTGCATTTGTATGGACGATTATCAGGTCGTTGTATTACAACCTGCGAAATTGCCCAAAACTCGATGTGGCACTCATACAACTAAGGAATACTGAGTGCGGACAACATTCACACGTAGTTCAGCGAACAGCAGCATTCACACAATACAACATTGCATTTGTATGGACGATTATCAGGTCGTTGTATTACAACCTGCGAAATTGCCCAAAACTCGATGTGGCACTCATACAACTAAGAAATACTGAGTGCGGACAACATTCACACGTAGTTCAGCGAACAGCAGCATTCACAAAATACAACATTGCATTTGTATGGACGATTATCAGGTCGTTGTATTACAACCTGCGAAATTGCCCAAAACTCGATGTGGCACTCATACAACTAAGGAATACTGAGTGCGGACAACATTCACACGTAGTTCAGCGAACAGCAGCATTCACAAAATACAACATTGCATTTGTATGGACGATTATCAGGTCGTTGTATTACAACCTGCGAAATTGCCCAAAACTCGATGTGGCACTCATACAACTAAGGAATACTGAGTGCGGACATCATTCACACGTAGTTCAGCGAACAGCAGCATTCACACAATACAACATTGCATTTGTATGGACGATTATCAGGTCGTTGTATTACAACCTGCGAAATTGCCCAAAACTCGATGTGGCACTCATACAACTAAGGAATACTGAGTGCGGACAACATTCACACGTAGTTCAGCGAACAGCAGCATTCACAAAATACAACATTGCATTTGTATGGACGATTATCAGGTCGTTGTATTACAACCTGCGAAATTGCCCAAAACTCGATGTGGCACTCATACAACTAAGAAATACTGAGTGCGGACAACATTCACACGTAGTTCAGCGAACAGCAGCATTCACAAAATACAACATTGCATTTGTATGGACGATTATCAGGTCGTTGTATTACAACCTGCGAAATTGCCCAAAACTCGATGTGGCACTCATACAACTAAGAAATACTGAGTGCGGACAACATTCACACGTAGTTCAGCGAACAGCAGCATTCACAAAATACAACATTGCATTTGTATGGACGATTATCAGGTCGTTGTATTACAACCTGCGAAATTGCCCAAAACTCGATGTGGCACTCATACAACTAAGGAATACTGAGTGCGGACAACATTCACACGTAGTTCAGCGAACAGCAGCATTCACAAAATACAACATTGCATTTGTATGGACGATTATCAGGTCGTTGTATTACAACCTGCGAAATTGCCCAAAACTCGATGTGGCACTCATACAACTAAGAAATACTGAGTGCGGACAACATTCACACGTAGTTCAGCGAACAGCAGCATTCACAAAATACAACATTGCATTTGTATGGACGATTATCAGGTCGTTGTATTACAATCTGCGAAATTGCCCAAAACTCGATGTGGCACTCATACAACTAAGGAATACTGAGTGCGGACAACATTCACACGTAGTTCAGCGAACAGCAGCATTCACAAAATACAACATTGCATTTGTATGGACGATTATCAGGTCGTTGTATTACAACCTGCGAAATTGCCCAAAACTCGATGTGGCACTCATACAACTAAGGAATACTGAGTGCGGACAACATTCACACGTAGTTCAGCGAACAGCAGCATTCACAAAATACAACATTGCATTTGTATGGACGATTATCAGGTCGTTGTATTACAATCTGCGAAATTGCCCAAAACTCGATGTGGCACTCATACAACTAAGAAATACTGAGTGCGGACAACATTCACACGTAGTTCAGCGAACAGCAGCATTCACACAATACAACATTGCATTTGTATGGACGATTATCAGGTCGTTGTATTACAACCTGCGAAATTGCCCAAAACTCGATGTGGCACTCATACAACTAAGAAATACTGAGTGCGGACAACATTCACACGTAGTTCAGCGAACAGCAGCATTCACAAAATACAACATTGCATTTGTATGGACGATTATCAGGTCGTTGTATTACAATCTGCGAAATTGCCCAAAACTCGATGTGGCACTCATACAACTAAGGAATACTGAGTGCGGACAACATTCACACGTAGTTCAGCGAACAGCAGCATTCACACAATACAACATTGCACTTGTATGGACGATTATCAGGTCGTTGTATTGCAACCTGCGAAATCCCTCAAAACGTACTCTTGGACTCATGCAACTAAGTTATACAAAGTTTTATTGGCATTTATTTTGCCGGAAGGTTGTTCATGTTTTCAATGCATTTCATCAATCCATTTACTGTCTACAAAATGATGATTATTATGCAAAGAACTTTTACAATTGTTTATTATTATTATGGACAATAAGAATTCAAATGTTCTAAAAATAAACCATTTGGTTGAATTCTCACCTGGAAAATCGAAAACTGTCAACTATGTATAATACCTTATGCGGATAAACTTTTGAAACCCTACTTATTACGCACTAATTCGACATGTTTTGTTAAAACAGACCAGTATACGAGTTCTTGAACTAGACAGTTTTATTTGTTCGTACTGGTGCACGAAGTGCATCATTTTTATATTCTATTTATTCGTGTTATGGTGTAACTCACAACTCTCACACGTTTTCGTCTGAGCGTCATGCAATATTTACATTAAATAACTAGTGGGACAAATTCTACGGGAAGTTTAGCCTAACACTGGACAGAGACACCTGTTTTTATTAACGTAGCTAATTAAATTTTATTTTTGCAAAACGAAAAAACCGGTTGACTGAAAAACTTAAGAGAGAAGCTATTAAGTGTATTCAATACAATGATTTTATAAAATGTTCTTACGATTTTATTAGAATTGCGATTTTTGACACTTATCATTGTACCTATGAGCACTGACGAGTCAGGAAGAAGCCCATGGCAATCATAAGCATGTGCGAAAAGTTTGGCGGAGTCACAGAATTTTTGAGGGCATGCGACGAGAAAACAGTCCAACTGAAATCCAATGGCTAAACCACTGTCTGCGTATTTACCTTTGGTTTAAAAGCTCCACAATGTGTAATTTGTTCATGTATCGAAAGAAGCCTTGAAGATATAAAACTTAAACCACAAAGTGAACATGAATGATGATGACAAGTTGCATAATGTTGCTCCATCAGCTGTAGATCCTCAGTGACACAAAGGCAAGATGAGTTTGGACAAGAAACACTACTTTGTGGATCGTTGTTAAACAAAGCAACTTTTGTACCTGGTACTGTAAGAAGTACACCCTAAGTCATTCACTAGTAAACACTTATCTGATGGCAGGAAGTTGTCCATTAAATCAAAGAACCCAAGGTTTGAAGTCATTATCTAGAAGAAAGATAAACTCTTATCAATATCGAAAACCAAGGACGAAAAATCACACAACTCCTCTAAAGAAAAACATAGACCCGTCTTGCAATCAAAATATCTCTGATAAAGAAAGTCATTCATATTACCCGACATCAGTATCTCAGAGTTGCAGTGTATATAAGTGTATGTACACTTGTCAGTAACCAGTAGTTTGATTGAACAGAAGTATATCTAAACATCCGTACATTACATGAGTAACGAGGGTTTGATCCTGAAGCCTATGATGAACAAGTAAAATAGGATCAGTCCATAGTGATTTACACTACTAACCATAATCGCTGATGTAAGAATCTCGTCATACTCATACAATGTCATATCTACGATACAAGGGTACAACAGGTTCACTTTGGCAATGAAACACTACAATCGTAAGGCACACATGTAACATTGAAGGAGTTGATGCTCTCTGTGAGACTCATATCCACGTCACCCAGCCTCACAGTTCGAGACGTTAACAACAAACACAACGCACATATACACCTTGTTGGTGTGTTAAGTAGTAAGGAACCAAGATCAAAGGGTTTCTCACAGGATTTCAATTGAATGCAAATTATTCCTGTTTTGTTCCCAAAGAGCGGCAAAAAAAAGAAAGGAAAATATCGAAGGTGAAAATACATGCTGAATAAACCAACCAGTATTAAAAGTGCGCCACTAGAAGTGCAGTGAAGAACAAATTTTATGTCGCTATGATCTAAGTAAAAACTGGCAGTGCCTGGCTCATAATATGCATAGTGGAGTGTTTATGTGGCTATACAGTATTTTGCCATTCTTACTTGTGACTCAATATCAGCAATGAGTTTACTAGGTTTGTGAACAAAGAGGTGGTAAAGCATCATTGCTTCGTAGTTGATATCAGTTGGTGACGAAAACCTCACGGAATTCTAACCTTAACTCACAATACTCACCTGACTAATAACATGTAAACGTGACAACTTGCCTATATTATGGGGAATAATTCAACACACTAGGGTTAATTTGTCATAAAAATGCCGTTAGTTTACCGTTATTTTACTCCTTTTTATAGTTAACTAGTTTATGTATTTATTATTTATTTGAACACATAATTATTGGTACAAGAGGGCACCAAATATATATGCGTTACACAAAACAATGAATGGGGAGAGAAAAAAAGAAGGTAAGGAGAGTAAAAGAAAAAAATAACACTAACGACCAGAATAATGTAAGGTAGTGTAATAACACTCCCGAAGTGCTCTCACACGGCTACGCGTATACAGCCTCTGACAGGGAAGTCCTACTCACTGTCTTTTCGTGGCAGGGGTGTTGTGTACGAAAATGAGAGGACGAAAAGAGGATGTCCGGTGCTTTAACCGGATCCCAAACCAATGGTGAACATGGGCTCCAGTTTCTTGAGGAAAAAAAGTGGCGTATGAATCAATCGTTGGTCTCCGGCTATCATGGGATTGCATCTCCTTACGATGCTCCACTGTCTTGTGGGTCAGACCTTTAGGTCAAAGGCTCGGGGTGTGGCCCCTACGAAAACCACCTGCTTCTGTCTGGGCACCCGGTCAGTATCACAGCTCACACACAAATGAAATAATAATGACGATATTTACTGAAAAATTCTAACTAGTTTATTGCTAAACACTACTTCTTAATTAGCTGATACGTATGGTATACGTTTACCAAATTTAGAGAAAATTATTGAAACTTTTGCAAGATAAATAGAACTAGTTTCACATACCAGACACTCATACACACTAACTACACCCCCACAATTCGAGTGTATCGTCACTCCTACGCTTATAAACTGTAACGTCCTGCCTTAGGTAGGTTTGTGTCTACCTTGAAGGCACCTTGTATACTAGGGGTGCTAACAATAGTAAGATTAGACGGAAAAGAGTAGGAGAAAAGTGACCCGAAGACTCAGCAAGCATACAGGACGCACTAACATCCAAAAACAAACACAACTGACAGCAACAAAGGCGACACGAGCGCGAGAACAGGACAACCGTGATAACCAAAACAAAATGATAGAGCGCTATGTTAAAAGAAGAGCGGTGTTTTTCCTCTCTGAGTTAATTTTATTGTTTTGGTCATTTATTACGCATCAAGACTACCGTTTTTGCTTTGACTTAATTTATTTCAGTTAAAGTAATCGCCAAGAAAATCTTTTGTCATATGTACTGAAGATGTGACACAGGTATTCAGTGTTTGACAACGCTTTTACCAGTAACACCTAATATAATTCGTTCCCACCCAGAGAAATCAAAAGACAGAGTTGAGGAGATCGGGAGAGTGTATTTGGCAATTACCAATATATCGGAATTCTCTGATCTAATCTGGCTAGCGTTTGCGGTTGATGTTGAACACGGCGTTACCACACGTGATCTGGTGCGGATGCATGACCGAGCGCCTTAAGCTAGATGAGTCCACTAAAACATATGGTCAGCATCCAATGTTGAAAACTTACAGGGCTATTTATTGTGGGGATTTATTTACCGCTACAGTACTTTTCAGTACACTGGTCCTTTTTGTATTTGCTTGAGCTCTTTGTTCTGACAATTAACAGTCTTGTTGTCATCGGTATCTTTTGCCTCTGGGTGCAAGTGATGGTATCACGAAGTTTGCACGAGTCTAACGCCTGTGGATTTCAAACGGTTCGGCAAAAATAGTTTCATGTGGTTGTATCAGCAATGTTGCTCAAGCACAAACTGTTTGTTATTCGAAGCCATTACAATGGTGAATGCTGCCGAAAGGAGTATTAGCAAGCGTAGTCGAGACACACCAAGTTGTGCTCGCCCAGTGTATACACAAATTGACGTGCGGCTACTTCAGAAAAGCTCAAAGTACATTGACTTACATGGGCCAACGGAGGAAGGATGGCCAATAAAGAGGTTTGTTAAAAACGATAGCTCACAAAAGGAAGTTTCTTCGGTCCCCAGCCCTTCAGGGAGCAGTGTGCACGAGACGCTTAGAATGCCTAATCGCAAGGCTAGGTCTGTTTCTAGCAGGAAAAACAAAATACTGACTACCCGAGTCAGTGACAATCACCCGAGATCCTACAATGTGTGTAACACGACTGAGATTACTACTCCAATGAAAGATGCTACAAGTATTCGGGGTTCATCAATGCCTTAGCCGGTAACACCTTTACAATTGAAGGGTGCCAACCCATCATATCAAAAGTCAGAAATGAAGGAGTTTGAAGATATACTTGATAGGGTACCAATATATCGGGAAGTGATTAATCTAAACTGGTTAGAAGTTGTAGGAGATATGTAGCACGACATGCTCACTCGAGATCTGGTGTGGATGCGTGACCGAGTACCTTCAGCTAGGTTGATTTGGTGAAATTAATTAAGTCAGCATCAAATGTCGAAGACTTACAGAGCGAGTGATTTTGGGGATTTATTAACCGCCACAAATTTATAGACTAGGTAGCCAAATAGAATTGAAATAGAATCGAACAAGGCTTTTAAAAGTAGTATTTAAATATCCCAAAGAAAGAGACTTAATACTACAGGATAGACGCGTAGGGCCAGTAGAATGTCATTGGACCTTAGCAAAATCATACTCAATCAGGTCACAGAATATCGAACAGATCAACCAATGCGCATCAGTTAATCGCACACCATGGACTGGTCCATACGACGGTGGTCGCAACTTCTCCATTGTACCTACGTCTTCTGTGTCATACGGTCTTCGAAGCAGCCATAGTACCTTGATACGGCGAAAGTGTAATCCACATATGTTACTGACCATGAAGTGTTACTTCAAAGTTAGCTGGTTCATCACACCATTCTCATCTTACTTGATATAATGTTTCGAATTATTTGAATTATAGTACGAAATAAGAGTCCCAGAGATAACGCAAGTGAATTAAGAAGTAAGACACTAGCACAAGCGAATGTATTGTGTTTGGAATTCGAAATCGTGCAATCAACAAGTACAAAAGTATCATTAGTTCGTTCAAACACCAAATCCGCCACAGCTTAAATTGGAGTCTAGGTGTTTGTAATCAATCGTACGTCTTCTTCTCAAATTCATCCTCAGTCTGTCTGACATTGTATTGGATAAGGATTCTGTATTATCTAGAATATGCTCATTAGCATTAGAATTAACAATCGAAATTGGAACTGACTCACCTGGTACCTGAAATTGTATTTGATCTATATGTCGACTGTGTGTACTTAAGTCATCGATGTCTAGAATTCTCACCATCGATTTTCCGACATTCTTCAGAACAATACCCGTAGATGGTCGAAGATCATTTCCTCGATAGTATGTAACTTCTGCAGACTCCAAACATCTCATATTCGACCGAAGAATTCTTCCTTTCAATAGCTTCGCTGGAGTTTCCTTCGTCACAGAATGTCTGGCATTTCTATATTGCAATAGAAAGGTATCTACTCCCCTCTCCAGCTCATTAAATGTTGAGGGGGCTATAGAATCAATAGCAGTCTTTAATGTCCTGACAAAATTCTCTGCCTGACCGTTAGAACACGGATGTCTGGAAGCAGTAAACAGATGTTGCATCCTATACCGTTCAACCAGGTAGTGACTGCATCTGCAGCAAAGTGAGAGCCATTATCAGTCACTAACACCATAGGAACCCCTTCTCGACTAAACACCTTTCTTAATGCTTGGATTGTGAAATCAGAATTTGGTGAAGTTGTAAAAAAACTTCAGGCCACTTTTAAAAAGAATCAATAACTACTAGTGCATAATATTTACCAAGAAACGGACCACAATAGTCAGCATGGATTCTCTGCCAGGCCTCAGACGATACTGGCCATGGCGTCCACTTCGAATGCTGATTTTTCAGCTTATGAAATTTTTCACAATTGTTTGCCGTACGACATATATCTGCATTTATCTCTGGCCACCAACATGTGAGCCTTGCCAAGGACTTCATTTTTTTTGGTGGAGTTTTGTTCTCTGAGCTGGATAGAAGTCTTCTATCTGAAGTTTGTGCTGATGATGTCGTTCAGAAGACTGATGAAAGCTCCACCACCAAACCATCCAGCTCAGAGAACAAAACTCCACCAAAATCATCCACCTGAGCTACAAATCTTCTCCACCATCTCAACTTTATTTTCTCAACACCTAAATGACCACTATGAAGATCTTCAAGAACAGATTTATGCAATGAAGGATGAATGACAACACGATCATTTAAACACAGAATACCATCAGGAGTAGTAGATAGCCCATCACGCTTTGAATAATAGATAGGAAATCTACTTTTCAAATTAGCAGTCCAGCCTTTCCGTATAGCACTGAGTATATATCCAAAATATCTGCGAGTTTCTCTAATGAGATCTGAACGTCTCACTGGTAAAGGTCTCACTAACAAACAGCCCGAAGTATTAATAGGTCTATCTTGTAATGACTGCCGAGAAATGTAGTCTACATGTTGAATTTGTTTGGCACTTCTGTGCTGAACCGTATAGTCATATGCACTCAAAGCAATACTCCATCGTTGGACCATAGCAACTGAGGAACGTGCTAAGGATTTTTCAGGATGATAAATAAACTTTAAAGCTTCATGATCAGTAACAATAGTAAATTTCTTTACGAATAAATATTTATCAAGTCTTTTAACAGCCCAAACTACAGCTAATGCTTCTCACTGAGTCTGTGAATAACCTTCCGTCGGAAACTATCTACTACGATGCTTTACTTACTTGACCACTGCCCGCCTAATTTCCAATTCTTGAGTCAAACAGAGGATACGAATGTTAGAAATTTACTGTGGGCTTGAATTATAAATTTCCTATAATATTAGATCTTGTTTAGATTGTCCGTCAGGCAGTTCTACGTATTTGGTTTAAATTAGTTTTCGACCCATACAAATTCATCGCTGTGTTAATTCGAGCATTTGCCTCGTATATAATCCAAATTCGAACTACTATCTACTTCACGTTCTCATCACTTGGAAATGAAAGTAACCCAGGCAAGTTTCATAATTGCATCAGATAATTTCGTACTATGTTTATGATGCCTAGTAACTTTCATAGTTGCTTCCACACAGATTAGCCATATATTCTGACGCTGCCGTCACGTTTTAGTCCAAGTCATGTATATTTATGACTCGTAAGTCATCATACTGTGGAAAAACGTGTTGCAAGTACACGAGCAATCTTAGTCCATGCTCTAACTAGACGCTTTGTCGTACGTAACATGTCACTTAACGTCAGGTAATAAGCTCTATGCTTTAGTCTTTTACGAAATGGTCACGTTGTCTGAACCTTCTAAACTTTGATTACATTGGCGGTTACCATTTTTACTTATGTTTACTATGCGCTTTGTATTTGCTGTTATCTCACACAGTCAACCATAGCTCGACTTCCTTATTGCACGAAAGTCATTTTAATTCCGTTTTCCGTTTATTTACACGCAATACGGGTTTACAAAATGTCAAAAAGACCTCTGGAATTCCTCACGAACCCCATCATAATCTTCGTATGTGTTTATGTCCACATATCCACCTGTTACTCTGCAAACCTATGTGCCTTCAATAAACTGGTCATAGTCGGCACTACATTCGGACATAAACGCATACACAAAACCACATGGACTTCACCGGATCACACCACGCAAAACCAAATCACCGTATTTGCATCAACAAAACGTTCAGGAGGACTATAGAGGATGTGAGAACCAAGAGAAGAACTGAAATAGCAACAGCTCATCACTTGCAGGTCACCAAGATGAAATTGAAACTCAAGAAGCACTGGACAATAGGGCAGACAATACCACAAAAGTTCAATACGGCCTTTCTTCAGGATACTAACAAACTCAACAAATCCAAGATAGTCCTCAGCAACAAGTTCCAGGCCTTTCATGATCTACTCAATGGACAAGGAACTACTGTAGAGAGAAACTGGAAGGGGATCAAAGAGGCTATCACTTCAACATGTCATGAGGTCCTGGGTCACAAGAAGCACCATCACAAGGAATGGATCACTGTTGGTACACTGGATAAGATTCAAGAAAGGAGGAACAAGAAGGCAGCAATCCATTCCAGTCGAACAAGAGCAGAAAAAGCCAAGGCACAAGCTGAATACACGGAAATAAACAAACAAGTGAGGAGGAGCATCAGAACCGACAAACGTAAATATGTGGAACATATAGCAACGACGGCGGAAACGGCTGCAAGAGAAGGAAATATGAGACAATTGTATGACACGACAAAGAAACTCCTCGGAAATTAACGTAAACCAGAACGGCCAGTGAAAAGCAAGGAAGGCAATGTGATCACCAACACTGAAGAACAGCGAAACAGATGGGTGGAACACTTCAAAGAACCCTTGAATCGACTAGCTACACTGAACCCACCCAAGATCGAAGCAGCACTCACGGACCTCACATTCAATGTTGGCCCACCAACAATTGAAGTAATCAGCATGGCCATCAGACAAATCAAGAGTGGCAAAGCAGAAGGACCAGAAAACATTCCAGCAGATGCACTGAAAGTAGATGTGGCGGTAACTGCAAAGATACTCCACATTCGAGGTAAAGACCGGTGTCAGGCAAGGTTGCTTACTCTCACCCTTCATTTTTCTCCTGGTGATCAACTGGATCATGAAGACGTCAACATCTGAGGGGAAGCATGGGATACAGTGAACAGCTAGAATGCAACTGGACGATATAGACTTCGCAGATGATCTGGCTTTTCTATCGCACACGCAACAGCAAATACATGAGACGATCAATATAGCAGCAATAGATCTCGACATACACAAAGGCAAAAGCAAGGATCTCCGATACAACTCAGCAGGCAACAGTCGAATCATACTTGATGGGAAAATTTGGAAGATGTAAAAACCTTTGCATATTTGGGCAGCATCATTGATGAACATGGTGGATCCGATGCAGATATGAAAGCGCGGATCGGTAAAGCAAGAGTAGTATATTTACAACTGAAGGACATTTGGAATGCAAAAAAACTGTCAACCAACACCAGAGTCAGGATTTTCAATACAAATGCCAAGACAGTTCTACTGTATGGGGCAGAAACCTGGAGAACAACAAAAGCCATCATCCAGAAGATACAGATGTTTATTAACAGCTGTCTACGCAAAATACTTCAGATCCGTTGGCCAGATACTACCAGTAACAACCTACTGTGGGAGAAAACAAACCAGATCCCAGCAGAGGAGGAAATCAGGAAGAAGCGGATAGGAAGTGGATAGGACACACATTGAGGAAAGCACCCAACTGTGTCACAAGACAAGTCCTCATATGGAATCACCAAGGCCAAGGGAGGAGAAGAGGAAGACGTCGAGAAATGGAAATAGACATAAAAAAATGAACAAGAATTGGATGGAACTAGAAAAGAAGGCCTAGAACAGAGTGGGTTGGAGAATGCTGGTCAGCGGCCCATGCTCCATTGGGAGTAACAGGCGTAAGTAAGTAAGTAAGTAATCCATCTTTTACATCAATAATACCCAAATGAACATTCAGTGCAACTGTCAGTATACTTAAGAACGATTTTATTTCGATGTGACGTCATAACACATCTGAATTATTGTGATTATTCAACTTCGACCTCGTATTTTATTTTACGAGGTATTACTTCCTCGTATCTGTTACCTAACAGATGGTTTCGGTACAGCAGTCGCCTGTACAGCACTCGCCGTTTATCGACCTGTAGAGAAAACTTCGTATCACTGTCACTCTCGATCTGTAGTCTACGACCCTTACTGATTGTAACAGCAATCATTGGCTTTTCAGAATGTGACTACAAGTTGACCAATAGCTTCGTACGACGAAATCACAGCTTTTCACGGTTATACTTCTGTACTTACAGTTAGTCTTTTAAATATAGACGTAATTTGGATTCGACATTTACGAACAAAACTGTCCGACTTTCTACTTTAAATAAATGGCAGTAGAAACATCAGCATTGACTGATGACGCACTTATGGTGCTACCACTGCAGTATAATTACTCCTGCAGCAAACTCATTGTTTCTTATCTGAAGAACTCAAACACTTGTCAGAGATATCTATTTCAACACAACTTAATAAAACTTTAAAGCAGTATGTTTTTTCGATTATTTCTATGTTTCATCGGCTTACATTCAACCAACGTGCTAGTAATTTATTGTTGCTCGCTTTTTCCCCATCAATTTTTGCCGCCTCCTCATCTACCTTACAGCTCGGCAATATCCGAAGAATTCATACTGATCGTTTGGCAACCTCCAACACGCAACTACTCCCAACATGTTTGGTGCCTATTCAAACGGCGTTGGAGGGGAAGAGGTTTCGTTCGTTAAAACTTGACACTCGTAGGCCGTATAAAAAGACAAGAAAGAGAACTGAAACCGAGATTAAATGCAAGCGGGAATGACCTTAAAATTGTAAATTTTCAGATAGTGCAGCCTTGACCCCAAATTTGAAAATATTATTCAGAGACCCTCTTATACTTTGTAAATTGCCTATGAAGATGATAGTGATATTTTGAGACACGAATTAATGTCCTATTCTTCAGAGTACATAAAACTATTGATTACAAACGAAATAAATTCAGAATGACTATACGTAAACAAATATATGTAATCATAAAAGAATAAACAAATAAAGTAATTAGCATAATAAAATTTCTTTTAGAAAATTGAAAAAATCCAAATCACTATAAAAATGATGAAGCAGAAGAACCAAACATTATGGATTTAATAAAAGAATCCTGTAAGTATCGAGTAATCAAGTTCCGTTTACTTTCATATTCTTTGACTGCATTATCATTCTGAATGAAGAATACATTATGGAAGTGTATTTGAATCTGTTTCTACTAACCTTTCTTACCATCTTTCTATTTTCTTGAATGCCATCGAGCAGACATATTCCATAATTTATCAGGCTATATTAATAATCCCATCGGTCGATATTTACTTTTTTCTAATGTTCATTTCTTTTAGTGACACTATTAATAGGCGTTCAGATAATGATTTTGAAATTTTTAGTGTGATCATTTATTATGAATTATATCCAAGAGACTCATCTTAGTTACTCATAGATTTATTTGTTGATGATAAGAATATTCCTGATAATTTTTCACGGATCTAAGCTTCCGTAAGTCATTTGTTAATAACCTGTTTCTATATATCAGTACGGAACTATGGAATCTAAGAAAATATGGGTGATATATGATACCCGAATGGATATAAATTGCACATACCAAGAATTATTATCTCATGGTAACTGAGATACGTTATTAGTAACTAGTTCAATTATTGAACAATTTGAATGTTCCCTTTGTAATTTTTTAAACAACGAAACATGCACTGTGCTGATATTGAACTTTCAACGTCTGCGGTTGTAATTATCATATATTGTTTGGATTGAACTTTCTTGTTGTGATTCCATAACACAATTTAAGAATATTAAAATTCTTTCATCTTTATTGGTAATTATAATACAATTTAGGATGGGTTGAGTAGATATTTGCTAAAATATTTAAAATCTAATAGAATACAATTGTTAATTTTGTCTTGATCGAAATCAAACCATTATTCAGAATTTAAGTTAACAAATGTCTATGATAGAATATAGATCAACAAGATATTTACAATCATAGAACGAAGAAACAACAGAAGGAAGCGAAATAGAAAATAACACTAGGGCAAACACTATACTATAGCTGTTTCGATGACAATAACCATACGAGTTGTTCCGTATTTCCCTTTAATATTTACTATTGTTGCATACTTGCATAGTTTGTGTAAGGTAATACCTGCAGTTTCTCTTATAATCCATATATATGAATGAGAGGCTTTACCGTGTACTAAACTATACAAATATGGTAACCTAAATACTGATTGCATTATTTATGTATTGAGTGTTCGAAAGAAGTTACAGATTCTGTTTTTATCTTGAATTGCTTTGGGTATTCTTTTGAAGTATTACAGAGAGTTACTAATCGTTATGAAATACCCGAATCTTTTCTGTAGAACACGATACACTTAATGGGTAGGTGTTATTCCTTGATTTGTATCCAAACAGGTCAAAGAGATTATGGCTAACATATGATCGTCAATCTTTATTATATATATCATTGCATTAATGATTCCGTGTGCTTTCCTATTGTCGCGATGCTGCTAATTCTCTCTGTGACACTTTTAACTGATGTTAATAAACGTTTTCTCAAAGGAGCTGTACTGAAAATGAGAATACATGGATTTAACGTACATCCCAATAATATAAGTATTGTACCCATTTGTTCAATCGGAGTACCATAAGTGTAAACCACAACTTCACATGCGATTAATATTTGACTTATGCATTCAAATGAGTGTAATATAGCTAGTTGACATGACATAATTGTTGTTGTGATAACTAACTGAATAATTTTCTTCTGTATCTGTAAAGTAGCTTCAAAATTTTGTGTAGTGCAATTTTGATGAGAAGGGCTAGATATTTTTAATACATGTATGATCCATGCATGGCTAACTAATGTGACCAAAACTGGAACAAAATAAGAAAACACAACCCATGAATACACAATATAATCAAGAAATACTTTCGTTTGAATCCAAGGGAATGAAAAATCCATAACACATTGGCCATCGGTATAACGACGAAGAAGTGGTGTTGGTATGTACAAAATCAAAAGCATAGTGAGCATGTAAAGAAAGTATAATAGGAAAAATCTATTCGTATACGTTTTGAATGATCCAAGAAATAGGACAGAACTCGCTCGATCCAATGATATACAAACCAGATTTTGCACACTTAAGATACATGGCAACCAGAATAATCCATTTCTAAACCAAAAATGACAAATTATGACATCTATAATATATATTCCAGTTCCGTTATTGACAGATGATATAGATTGAATCATATAGTACATTGCTGTTGAGAAACATGCACTTAAGTCAAATATTGGTTGTGCTCTAAATACAAATGTAGTAAATTTTGAACCGAATTGTGAAGTGAACACAACAGTGATGGCCACAATATTTAATATTATGCCAAATATTCCTTCAGTCGTCATAATAATCCGAATAGGTAAGCTAATGTAAATAGTCCCATTCATTGTTTAAGTCTGTTTATGTTGTTTACTGTTTATTATAATAAAGATAAAAATATAAAATGAAAGATTGATTTACATTTGGATAAGTTTATAACTTGATATTGGACAAATTATTCTCAATCTTGTATATTTTATAGCTTTAATGACCAATCAGAACTTCATTTACAATAATTTGAATGGTAGATGAAATATTGTATGGATATCAAATATACAATACAAATCAGTGGTGAATTTGGATGGAGCAATAAGCAGACAAACTCCACTTGTAGCTCATCTAGGGTTTCTGATGGTCCCAAGACCGGATAAAGGAGGGAGTTTGCACATGAGGTCAGCAAACTCATCTGGTAGAAAACAAACTTGCTAGAAAAACTCTAACCAGAATAAACAATTCAAAAAATTCAATCTCTTCCCTCCGATTTGAAGGATCTTCATTTAGAAGAATTATGACGCCTCATAGTGTAAGTCGAGATTCTTCGAAAACGACAAGACCGATGTCCATTCTAACAAACAGAGCAACAATTAATATAACCACATGGAACGTTCGGACAATGTGGAAGACAGGGAGGACGAGACAAATAGCTAAGGAAATTAGGCGATACAACATGATGGTGCTCGGAATCAGCAGAAAAACATTGGACCCAAGCTGAAGAAAAATGATTGACTTCGAGAGAGATTTAGTTGTACTCTGGTCATGAAGAAGAAAATACCTTACACACAAAAGGAGTTACACTGATGCTATTCTAAATGTTACCTCAGGAATGCTTTTCACTAACTTCATAAGTTGGCTGGAGAGAATAGAGTGGTTAAGCTCACAGACCGCCTCATTCGTCTTGAAACTTTTATTAGCCAGTGAGTTACTAAGACATATCGTGCTATTATGTAACGATTCGATTTAAATCTTGAAATCAGCTTTACAACCCATACTTCATTCTTGATCACAATTCTTTCCTAAGTTTGATGAAACGTTAGACATCATAGTATAATTTGCATTTTTTTCACAGGCTTTTTCTCGTTAATTTGTTTTGAATATGTTGATGTGGATTATAGAAAATCAGCATGATATAGACTTGTATCAGGTTTTATGTTAAGCTTAACGGATTGGCTAAGTATATGAAATGATTTCATTTACTGGAGATAACTGTTGATAAAAATCTGGTATTCTCAGATAAGTAAAAATTGTTAAGCTGTAAAAAATCACCTAATCATTACTACTACAATTCATAAGTATAGTTTTTTTTTGTTGAAAATATCACACTAAATACCATACTTCTCTAAATAAACCTAAAACATTCACGTTTACAAACTCGGTTAAGTCAATATTCAAGTGAGTCGACTAATGCTCATGTGCTATTATGGTTATCATATTACGAACTTCTACAATCTAGACTAATGATTCTCCACTGAGTCTATCAGGAAGCCAAAAATCCAATTATATACATTTTGTATAGAATCACAGTTCATATTCACTAAGTAATTACACGATGAATAGTAGAGGCTTAGACTGTAGTATTTATACATTCTCTTATTATCAAGTTTTCGTTTGATTCATAAATCGCTATCAGATAACTTTTTATTTCAGATTTATCATTAGTTAATTATTCCCTATTACCCTAACTCCGCCTGGAGTCCCTCCGGGGGCTACTGCCGGTCCCAAGCCCGGATAAAGAAGGAGGGTTGGGCATGGGGTTAGCGTACCCATCCCGTAGAAAACTAACTCGCTAAAAAAACGCTAACCAGAAAAAATTATTCAAACCTTTTAAACTCTGCCCTGGGAGTCAGAAGATCTTCATTTAGAAGAATTGTGACGCCTCATGATGAAAGCCGAATCCCTTCGGAAGTTACGAGGCCGATGCCCCTTCTGACAACTAGAGCGATCATTTATTTAGGTACATGGAATGTTCGTACAATGTGGGACACCGGAAGAGCCTTCCAGATTGCTGCAGAAATGAGAAGATACAACCTAGAGGTACTTGGGATCAGTGAAACACATTGGACACAAGTTGGACAACAACGACTAACTACAGGAGAGCTCCTGTTATACTCCGGCCATGAAGAAGAAAATGCACCACATACACAAGGAGTTGCATTGATGCTGTCCAAACAAGCACAAAATGCACTTATAGGATGGGAATCTCATGGACCAAGGATCATCAAAGCCTCGTTTAAAACAAAGAAAGAGGGCATTTCAATGAACATCATCCAATGCTATGCGCCTACCAACGACTACAATGAAGACGCTAAAGATCAATTCTACAATAGGCTGCAGTCAATAGTCGAGAAGGGCCCAACAAAGGACCTGACCATTCTGATGGGAGATTTCAACGCCAAGGTTGGAACGGACAACACTGGATATGAAGACATCATGGGACGACACGGACTGGGAGAAAGAAACGAAAATGGTGAGAGATTTGCAAATCTATGTGCCTTCAATAAGCTGGTCATAGGCGGCACCATATTCCCACATAAACGCATACACAAAACCACATGGACTTCACCGGATCACTCTACACAAAACCAAATCGACCATATTTGCATCAACAAAACGTTCAGGAGGACTATAGAGGACGTGAGAACCAAGAGAGGAGCTGATATAGCATCAGATCATCACTTACTGGTCGCCAAGATGAAATTGAAACTCAAGAAGCACTGGACAACGGGGCAGACAGTATCACAAAAGTTCAATACGGCCTTTCTCCAGGATACTAACAAACTCAACAAATTCAAGATAGTCCTCAGCAACAAGTTCCAGGCCTTTCATGATCTACTCAATGGAGAAGGAACTACTGTGGAGAGCAACTGGAAGGGGATCAAAGAGGCAATCACTTCAACATGTCATGAGGTCCTGGGTCACAAGAAGCACCATCACAAGGAATGGATCACTGTTGGTACACTGGATAAGATTCAAGAAAGGAGGAACAAGAAAGCAGCAATCAATACCAGCCGAACAAGAGCAGAAAAAGCCAAGGCACAAGCTGAATACACGGAAATAAACAAACAAGTGAGGAGGAGCATCAGAACCGACAAACGTAAATATGTGGAACATATAGCAACGACGGCGGAAACGGCTGCAAGAGAAGGAAACATGAGACAGCTGTATGACCTAACAAAGAAACTCGCTGGAAATCGCCGCAAACCAGAACGACCGATAAAAAGCAAGGAAGGCAATGTGATCACCAACACTGAAGAACAGCGAAACAGATGGGTGGAACACTTCAAGGAACTCTTGAATCGACCAGCTCCACTGAACCCACCCAACATCGAAATAGCACCCACGGACCTCACATTCAATGTTGGCCCAACAACAATTGAAGAAATCAGCATGGCCATTAGACAAATCAATAAAGGCAAAGCAGCAGGACTAGACAACACTCCAGCAGGAGCACTGAAGGCAGACGTAGCGGCAACTGCACGGATACTCCACATTCTCTTCAATAAGATTTGGGATGAGGAACAAGTACCAACAGACTGGAAATAAGGACAGCTGATGAAGATAGAGAAAACAGACGATCTCAGCAATTTTGATAACTACAGAGGCATCACTTTCCTATCAACACCAGGAAAAGTCTTCAACAGGGTGTTGTTAAACAGAATTAAAGACTCAATGGACGCCCAACTTCGAGATCAACAGGCTGGATTCCGTAAGGATAGATCGTGTACAGGCCAAATCACAACACTACGAATCATTGTGGAACAATCAATTGAATGGAATTCATCTCTTCACATCAACTTCATTGACTACGAGAAACCATTTGGTAGCGTGGACAGAACAACACTATGGAAACTTCCTTGACACACTGGTGTGCCTCAGAAGATAATCAATATCATACAGAATTACTATGATGGATTAAACTGCGAAATCGAACATAAAGGACAATTGACAAAGTCGTTTGAAGTGAAGACCGGTGTTAGGCAAGGTTGCTTACTCTCACCCTTTCTCTTTCTCTTGGTGATCGACTGGATCATGAAAACGTCAACGTTTGAAGGAAAGCGCGGGATACAATGGACATCTAAGATGCAGTTGGATGATCTAGACTTCGCAGACGATCTGGCCCTTCTATCCCAAACGCAACAACAGATGCAGGAGAAGACGAACAGTGTGGCAGCAGCCTCAGCAGCAATAGGTCTCAATATACACAAAGGGAAAAGCAGGATTCTCCGATACAACACAGAATGCACTAATCCAATCAGAATTTACGGAGAAGATTTGGAAGATGTAAAAACCTTTACGTATTTGGGCAGCATCATTGATGAACAGGGTGGATCTGATGCAGATGTGAAGGCGCGGATCGGCAAAGCAAGAGCAGCATATTTACAACTGAGGAACATCTGGAACTCAAAGCAACTGTCAACCAACACCAAGGTCAGGATTTTCAATACAAATGTCAAGACAGTTCTACTGTATGGGGCAGAAACCTGGAGAACTACAAAAGCCATCATCCAGAAAATACAGGTGTTTATTAACAATTGTCTACGCAAAATACTTCAGATCCATTGGCCGGACACTATTAGCAACAACGTACTGTGGGAGAGAACAAACCAGATCCCAGCAGAGGAAGAAATCAGGAAGAAGAGGATAGGACACACATTGAGGAAAGCACCCGACTGCGTCACAGGACAAGCCCTCACATGGAATCCTGAAGGTCAAAGGAAAAGAGGAAGACCAAAGAACACATTACGCCGGGAAATGGAGATAGACATTAGAAAAATGAACAAGAATTGGATGGAACTAGAAAAGAAGGCCCAGGATAGAGTGGGTTGGAGAATGCTGGTCAGCGGCCTATGCTCCATTGGGAGTAACAGGCGTAAGTAAGTAAGTAAGTAAGTCCCTATTACCCTGGTTTTGTATCATCCGTATAAGTTATGTAATTCCTTGATTGCGTTTCTGTGTGGTCAAGCACTTCAATTATATTATTGTATGAGTTGTGTAACATGATCAAATTGAGTACTTTAGAGAACTGACCTATTTTCTATCCTCATCTTCTGGTTGGCCACTCGGCTAGAAGGTGCTCGAGGAACAATTAACCTTAGGGTCTTATTTGTTATTCACTGGTAAGTGTGTCAATCCAAGAATAGTTACCGGTCTTACTAGCAATATAGATGAACTAATCAATAATTGGTCTAGAGAGAGGTCATATGATTGTTATCCTATCACACGGTACCCCATAAACTCAAGGACTTTGTTTTTTTCCCGACAAAACCATTACTTTGAATCCAGAGTAAACTCAAGTGTTTTCTCACCAAGCATAATCTCCTAGTTTCAATGCATGCATAAGATATTATTGCGATAATAAACACAAGGCACCAGTAACAACTGTACAACAGAGAATGAGAATGCAGTGAAAGGATATTCTGAATCTAGGAATCTGTTTATATTTCCAATAAAATTGCGAACCAGATGAAAATAAGTTTCGCTAATAATTCTCACTGTATCCGTTTCTCATTCTAGACTTATAGGCAAGTTACATTCGCAGATAAGTGATATGCAAAATAATATGAATGAATATTCAGACATCATGTTGAACATATTTAAGAGCTAAAATCATTTCATAGATGTGGTTGTTATAATCCACGAAATGCGGTTGAATTACACTCTTTTGGTATACATTTTTCCGAGCAGTCATGCAAATGAGAAGATTGATAAGTGACTAGGAAGCTTAAATTGACAAAATGAACGAATATGTATACTAATCTCTGATATTAATATATGTCCTTATGATGCAATTAAGGGAATGTAGGTTGAGACACTGATTAGGTATATTTTATTCATCCTCCTATAGAATGTTTTGTCTATAATGCTTCACATATCACATAACCCTGAGATGGCAGTCTAGATATTTGACTTTTTCAAGGCCACATTGCACGTCTAGATTTCTCCAGTCTATCGATAGTTATAATCAAGCAAGATAAACATCTCATTCCCAAATGTTAAATACAAGTAAGCACATGACTCTGAAAATTCGTGGTATTCATTTCTACAGCAGTTTGACTCGATGATTTTATAAATTATGTTCATACACAAGGTTAATGATTAATCAATGTAATTCATTCATCTTTTGATGTTTACTAAATGTGAGCAAATTATCTAAAAATCAGCGAATTGGAAAATAGTTTTTATCTATTTTCGCTGTTAAGTCGATCTATGTCAGCTATCGGTAACATCTTGAGTAAAGTCATGTCAATCTGAATTCAGTTGTAATACTAATCTTCTCCTACATATTAATTGCTCATGAAAATCTCAGTTTCTTAAACAATTGATGTTTGAATAGTTGAAATTGTGAGTCAGTCGAAGCTAGACTATGAAGGAAAACCTCGAAGCTTTGGACGGCCGTTTCGTTCTAGTGTGGGACTCTTCAGACGTGCTCATCCACGATCCGGCCCCCCGCGGGATTCCAAGCCAGGACCTATCAGTCTCACGCAAACGCCTAACCACTAGACCACTGAGCCAGCATCCAATGATGTTAATATTTAACTTCAACTAATCCAAGAAATTGAGCGACACATCCACATCATTATCTCAACTATTAAAATTACTATAATATCCACAAAACCACTTCTGATACAAATAAATAAAGTTAGAATTTATGGCAGAAATAACTTGTATTATACACTGTTAAATCATGATTCTTATATAAAGAAATTCAACCTAATTTATATACTTAACTAATGATTTATCATACAGTTGAAATGAATATGTCTAGATTTCAAATTTCGGAAGAAAAAATAATTCAGTTCACCTAATATAAATTATGTGTATACATTCGTGCTAATTTGAGAGTAATTGCCAAATGAAGTTATAATGTATATAGATGAAGTAAAATCATCAAAAAATAAAATAAACAAACAAGAAAATCAAATAGAAAGTACATTCTGTAATGATAAACAACAGAAACTCCTACTTAGTTCTAAATACGTCTAGATGCCTAATTACATTTTTTCCGTGTTTGCCTCCAAGTCTTTCATTTCTTTTTATCTTAAAATCTATTTCAATTTTGCAATTTCAATTTTCATTGTAAAATAGTCATCCTTGATTCAGAAGAGAGAGAGAGAGAAAAAGAGAGCACATCGATCAGCACTAAATTATTTTATCCCTGTTTACTAATAATTTGTCTGATATTAATAAAAAGAATAATAGTAAATGGAAAACATTTTTTTAAATTTTTGTAAATATTTTCATTGTTTAATAAAATAAAAAAAGGAATTTAATGATCCCTATCAGTTCACTATTGACTATTAATCATTGAAATAGGAATTTGAATGTTTATTTCGATAAACATTTGTTCGTATGATCAAAATGAACCATAGAACAATGAAAACAATAAAAATATCTCCATATATAGTTTATAAATAATCAACACTTTGAATGATCTACCGGCTAGACAATATTTTATAATACACTAGACTATTCTAAGTGTACATCTGATTGGTTATAATAACTATGATATAGATATATATAAAGTTAGGAAGTAGTTTATCAAATATCCAGTTTTCAACTTGTTTAACGTAACAATCTATTTCAACAAACTCTAACACCTTATAACTCCATATTCATTATAACAGCAGAAAAATTAAATAATGAATAATACCATTGATTTTACCTTACCTGCTCAAATTATTATTACAATTGAAGGAATATTTGGCACAATATTCAATATTGTGGCTATCACTGTTGTGTTCACTTCACAATTCGGTTCAAAATTTACTACATTTGTATTTAGAGCACAACCAATATTTGATTTAAGTGCATGTTTCGTAACAACAATCTATTATATCATTCAATTTACTAAAGGTTATGATAAACCTACAGGATTATATATTATTGATATAATTTTATGCCATTTTTGGTTTCAGAATTCACTATTCTGGTTGCCATGTATCTTAAGTGTGCAAAATCTGGTTTGTATATCATTGGACCGAGTGAGTTCTGTCATATTTCTTAGATCACTTAAATCATATACGAAAAAATTCTTTATAATATACTTTGTATATATGGTTTCTATGGTTTTGATTTTATATATCCCTACACCACTTCTTCGTCGATATACTGATAATCGTTGTGTAATGGATTTTTCTGTTCCATGGATCGATACAAATGCATTTGTTGAGTATTTTGTATATTCCTGGGTTATATTTGCTTATTGTGTACCCGTTCTAGTCATGCTCATCAGTCATGCTTGGGTAATACATACTTTAAGAGGACATAACTCATCTTGTCATTTTTTATCACGTGATATGCAGTCTAATTTACAAATTAAACGTAGAATAAGTCAACTTGTAATCACAACGTCAATTTTGTCTATTCAGCAAACTGTTTTACACTTTTTTGAATGTATAAGTCAAATATTGGAAGTAACCGGAATTTTTCGATATAGCTTTGACAGTCCAATTGAACAAATGAGTACATTACTTATATTATTGGGATATATGTCAAATCCATGTATTCTTGTTTTTAGTACAGCTGTATTAAGAAGACGTTTGTCGTTATTACTCAAAAGTCTAACAGAAAAAATAACCAACATTACAATAATCAAGCTATACTCAAATTGATCGACACAAAAAGTACATTCGCACTATACATATCAAGGGAATATATAACAATATTGTGATGTTTTGTACAATGAGTTGACAAAATTCACTTTTTACACTTATTTTGGATGAATGTGTTATTTTTGAAACTTATTTATCCTCTATAATATTCTCTCTACAATTAACTAACTATTTACTCATCTATTTACCGATAACCGATATGATTCTTTGCCAACTGTCCTAATAAAAAAGAAGATATTTTATCATTCTTTAGATCCATGGTCGAACACTATACATCAATATATTCAAATTAAAATGTTTAATTTTATGCAGAAATAGTTTCGAGATTAATTTGTAGTTAAATATAATTCTTTATTGTGTTGTATAGGGCCAGTGAAATGTCACTATGCCCTAGCCAAATCATACGACCGTCAGGTAACAGAATATCGAACAGATCACCGATCCTTGTTAAGTTCAAGGAAAACTAACGCGCATCAATTAATCGCACACCATGAACTGGTCCATACAACGGTGGTCGCAACTTCTCCATTGGACCTACTTTTACCAATACATTTCTATAATAACATCCCTTGCATCATACGGTCTTCGAAGCAGTCAATAGTACGTTGATACGATGAAATTGTAATCCACATTTGTTACTGACCATGAAGTGTTACTTCAAAGTTAGCTGGTTCGTCACACTATTCCCATCCAACTCGAGTAAGCCCTCAATCATTCAGCACACAAGTTCATATATGTTAGTGATCTATAATTGTATTTACATAATTATTAAGTCAAATCATGAAAATAAAAAAAATTCAGAAATATTTACGATATGAGAAAAAGACAAATAAATATAAAATAGAAGTGAAATAGTTAGAATATACATTTCCTGAAACAAATATCAAATGAAATAGTAAAAAAATTTAATCCAGTTTGCTTCCAGTCGGTTTACTTTTTACATCATACCAATTTTTTTTATTTTCAGGTGTTTTTTTCTTTTCATTTTAATAATAATCTCTTTTTCTATACAAAAAGACATTCTTTAACAGAATTTTATTTTCATTGTTGAATATCGTGGTTATTACATGTTGATATTGTCAATATTCATAAGTAATAAAGAATTAAAAAAACTGATGAAGAACCATTGGTTACATCTTATTTAACAAGGTTTCAATTGTTTAGTATCAGAAGGAGTTTTGTGGAGATTGTAGTAATTTCAGTAGTTGAAATCATGAATCGATTGACGGTAGACCACCATGGAAAGCGTCGAGGTACTGAACGGCCGTCTTGTTCTATTATGGGATGCCTCAGCAGTGCACATCCACGACCCATACTCGCGAGATTCGGACCCAGTACCTATCAGTCTCGCGAGAGAGCGCTTAACCTCTAGGACACTAAGCCAGCATTCGACGGCGTTCATGTCTAACTTCAACTAATCCAAGAAATTGAGCGACACATCCACCATTGTCATCAGTGAGCTAGTTTCTCATAAGAGACCCGGTTGAACTCCGCTGGTCACTGCTCCTGTTTGTTAATTATACATGTATATGTATGTTATTTAGATAGATTTTAAAGCACTGAATCAAATAAAGTGATAGTAATAACCAATAAACATATCACAACACTTACTATATTTTCAAACTAGTCTCATTTAGATTCACTTGATACTGTTTACTTCCCATTGATGTTTAGGACTGCAGTTGATCAGTCTCTTATCGACATATGTGTATACTGTACGTAATGCCTCGATATTGCCTTAATTAACAAGCATTCTAAGCAAGCATGGATAGTGACTAGCAGTGGAATCCAGTTAGACGCCCCGTTTCGTCCTATTTGGTACTTGACAGTTGGATGTACCTGCATCTCTAAGTTGATGTTTACTCTGGGACTTGAACTCAGTACCGTTCGTTTTTCATCTAGATTATTTTCTAAAGTATAAAAATCAGTACTGGAATAAAATTCGTTAGAGATATGTTCATCTATTACAATAAAGTAAGCATTGCTTACTAGAGAAATGTAAAGTGTGTAGTTTTGAAAGATACCCATAATTATTCATCTTGAATAAACATTGTGTGACCTTTCGCTTGACCTGATTTAACTATTCATTACTTTTTATTACTAAAACTCTGCCAAGTTCATTCATTTCGTATACTTACAATCAGTAGTATGTTGTGTATGAATCTGTGAATGTTAATCTTTTTCCTCGGTTGATGTGATTACGTTATAGGCGAGACTATAATTTATGAGCGAGCCAATCATAAGTGTTTGAGGTCACGGTACCAATTTCCGTACGTGATGCTCACGTACGATCGGTTCACAGCGGAATTTAGAGAAAACGTGATGATTGAGCGACTAAAACATATCGGACTACTAAGAAGTTACTTTATTTATGATTGTGGTAACCAAATAACTTGTGGACCTTGTTCAGACTTTCGTGATGATGTTGTCTTTCGATGTGATATGTGTTGGAGGAAGAAATCTGTTAGAATAAAACCTTTTTCTCTCAATCCAGATTGAGATCAAGACAAATCATGACAATTGTTGCGAACTGGATAATAGAAGCACTAGTAACACTGGTTGCAGCCAGGTACTACTATATATACGGCTGATCCGAGAGCGTACAGATGCCTATATAGACTTGGTTATGTGCATTGTGTCGTTATCCACACGTGGCATTTTATAGACCCAACAACCGGAGTGCATACAAACAATATTGAAGCTATGCGATCGAAGCTGAAATAGTTTTCGCGACCTTATAATGGCTCCAGAGGTTGACTATTATGGAGCCATATGGATGATTTCCTCTACTATATGCATTATTATTTTAGCACGTATGAAGCTCTTTCTAACTTTAACAAATTTTTGAACCATGTAAAAGAAGTGTATCCACTTTAATTCTTTGGTTTTGTTAAATATACTTTTACTCTTTACTAACTGTTTTCTGATTGGCTAATATTTCTCAAGGTCAGTGAAGATTTGTTCAAAAGTCGTCCATAAATTATAGTCTCGCCACGTTATTTTATTTTCTGGAAATAAGTAATAAGTAATTTTGTTTACTTGGATAGTTTCAACAAAAGGATCACTAATTGTTAACCATATTGGTGAAATATTTTTTTAAATTTTCCTCACATTTTGCTATTCTCTTATTTGATCAATTGTTTGATTTCATATAGTGAAATAATTAACATCCCAACTATTGTTATTTATTATTCTAAATAACTGTAAACTGAACTATATTCAATCTGTTTATATTCATCGTATTACTCTCTTTAAAAATATATCAATCATATTGTTTATAGACTGTAATCGCGTTCTATTAAATTGTTTACGATAAACTGTCCTTTAAAAATTAATATTCAACTCATGTATAATCATATAATCTATTGTTTTCATTAGCAAAATAATTAACTAAAGAAAAAATTTATTTTCAAATATAGAGAAACATATTATTAGAGAAGGTTATCCAGATTTATGATTGAAGAGTTTGTTAAACTGTCAATCTAGCAACAACAACAAAATTATAAAACGAAAACTTTGTATTTCAGTTAACAGTACCCCATTTTATTGATTAACTAGTGTTGTATTTTTTTCGTAATATTTATAAATGAGCTTGTCTCATTGTACCAAATTTTAAACAATCAAAGACAATATATTAGTATAGTTTTTCATATAAATTCATGTGATATGTTTGTTGGAAATGATTGATTACTATCAAAATTGGGTGTTTAAGTAGTATAAAGTTGAAAACCAATAAAATATATTAATTCTGCAGTATTTTTTAAAAGGAAGTTTCTTATCTAACATAAACAATATTTCAGATATTTGGTAATTAATAACTGAATTATTTGATTTGTCAACAATTTTTCTAAGAACAAAGATATGAGAATCAAGTCTCAAGTAAATGAATTCAAGATAATGCTTTAAATATGAATTTATAATTTAAGCATTGAGTACTTTTTCTTCGTTTAAAGAAAATTTTATGGTTAAAGGGTAAATAGTGTTATGCATGAAAACATTCTTGGCATAATGAAACGGCTGCCCAGTGCTTCCAGGTTTTCCATGGTGGTCTAGCTTCAATTGACTCATGATCTCAACTATTGAAATTACTACAATCTCCACAAAACCCCGTCTGATACTAATCAACATATGCTCACTGGTAACTGGCTTCAAGAGATATATCCTGGAGTTCTAGTGAGAAGCAGTGACCAGTGGAGTTCAACCGGGTCAGTTGTGAGGTATTAACTCACTGATGACAATGGTGGATGTGTCGCTCAATTTCATGGATTAGTTGAAGTTAGACATTAACACCGTTGGATGCCGGCTCAGTGGTCTAGTTAGTTAAGCGCCTGGCGCGAGACTGATAGGTCCTGGTTTCGGATCTCGCGAGTATGGGTCGTGGGTGCGCACTGCTGAGGAATCCCACAATAGGACGAAACGGCTGTCCAGTGCTTTGAAGTTTTCCATGGTGGTCTAGCTTCAATTGACCCATGATCTCAACTATTGAAACAACTAGTTAATAGTCAATTTTATAATATGGTGACGTAATTTGATTAATGTTCATTTTATGTTCCAAAATTATTATTACTATTATTATTACCATTATGATTATCTTTATCATTACTAAGAACACAATTGTATGAACGAAGAATATTCTTTTCAATAATTTCTCATCAGGTTCTACAATTATAAATCCAGATTAATAATCCATAAAATTGGCCAGATTTAAGGCAAAATAAATCATTTGGAAATTGTAATATGTGAATCAGGAATTGTTTGTTATATAAATAAATATTGGCAGATGTTCTAGGAATTTGTACATTCAAGCTCGTGAGCACCTACCCGTGTGGTTAAGCAAAGGCGTTGTCAAAACTGTTAACAGCTCCATCTTAGGCCATCTAGTTCAAACAGGACATACAGCCAACATAGAGCAATTTTTTGCAATAGTTAATCGTGTCAACAGCAGTCTACCTAATTCCGTCAGACTGCGAATCCTACAGACGGCTGAAGCAATTGCTATTCGGATTAAAAAGCCAGAGCTTTGTATCCAAAAGAAGTATGTTCAGCCACTCCTTTTACCCTGGCCAACTAGCTAATAATCAATCTTATAATGTGGTGACGTAATTTGATTAATGTTCATTTTATGTCCCAAACTTATTATTATTATTATTATTACTGTTATTATTACTATTATTGTCTTTACACTTGATAACCTTTTTTGAGGAATTTATTCAATATCCACCCCTGAATCTACTATATTTGACCTAATTATTTTACATATTACGCAATTTCTGATTTGTAATCACAATATTCTCCCTCTCTCTCTTACCCATGTTGACTATATTTATTCTGATAATTTATCTCACAATTTCATTTCACTTATAAACTGATTCAAGTTAACACTTTATATTAGTCAGCCCCAACATTAACAATTTTATTTATATAACAAACAATTCCTGATTCACATATTACAATTTCCAAATGATTTATTTTGCCTTAAATCTGGCCAATTTTATGGATTATTAATCTGGATTTATAATTGTAGAACCTGATGAGAAATTATTGAAAAGAATATTCTTCATCCATACAATTGTGTTTTAATATAATAGGAATTTTTCAGCAATCAAACGATTATTAGTTTCCCTGTTTAAAATTTTAAAAAATACCTTTGTTTATCCTACCTCACTGTCACCACGTCTAATTGAAGTTTATTTCCACTACTATTGTAATTATTATCATTCTGAAAATAAAAAATATAAATATTT